TAATAATAATAATAATAATAATAATAATAATAATAATAATAATAATAATAATAATAATAATAATAATAATAATAATAATAATAATAATAATAATACGTGTAAAGTACATGTGTCAACCGGAATCACGCATCCGGTTTACTGGGTTACGGCTCCGCCTCAGCGGTCTCACCTCCAGTTTAGGCATCCCACGATGGGAAAATTCCACGCCGCAAGGCAACAGGATGCTGCACAGCCCCCCTATTTCTTCAACACAAGAGGACAGAATCATCCCTTTTCGCAACTACTATCTGATTGTGCCACTTGTCCGTAAGATTCTGAATCTTTGTCTCGTCTGATATTGAACAAAAGTGACGTATATAAAAGGATGACCCGCGCCCATGGCTTCAGGGATCGGGATTGATCAATAATACCTACGGTAGGCACCTGTTTTAAGAGCCGCAGCTTTAGCAGCTTTAGGCAAACACAGTTCGCGGTCAGAGTTACGGTGAAGCCTCAACTCAATTTCAGCCTCCAATCGTTATTTTGATTTATTATATAAAGATACGCTACGCATACATCATGCTCTCCAGGCTCTTCAAATCCGTTACTTCCACAACGCCCGAACAACAGCCCAACATGTCTGCCAGTCGATCTGCAAACGGCTTCATCCGCGTGGATTACTCGTCCAACCCCGTCGACATTCCCGAATCATTTCTCACCGGTCCAGCCACTGATCCCGTCACATTCCGTCCAGTGCCGTGGAAAGAGTCCGATGTGCCGGAATATGCCAAGTGCAAGGCCTGGATCCTCGATAACGTCCTCTCCCTTGAAGAGTGTAACCAGCTGATTGCCCTTGCCGAGGCCTCGGCGCCGCGCGAGAAGCCGGAAGATTCGCCCTGGAGACCCGCCCTGATCAGCGTCGCGCCCGGAGTGGAAACTCGGGCTCCGGGATACCGCAACAGCGACCGCATCATCTGGGACAAGCAGCTTCTCGTGGACCGTCTGTGGGATCGTTGCGCTCAAGCCGAGGGACTGCAAGAGCTGGTTGCTACGGCCCCGTGCTCAAGGCCGGACCACAACCGCGGCAGAAAGGGCACATGGCAGTTTCATGGGCTAAACGAGCGGATGCGCTTCCTCAAGTACACGCCTGGCATGTTCTTCAGACGTAAGTAGAGTAAACCACTGAGAATCATGCGAGACGGAATATTCAGCAGCTAACATGCCATCTCAGCACACTGTGACGCGGCGTACCGAGCCGACAACCCCGATGGTCCCATCATAGAGACGTATTATACCCTGCATCTCTACCTTAACGATGACGGCCTCGTCGGCGGCGCAACTGCTTTTTTGTCGCCTGATCGGAAGCGGCGCCTGGATGTCAACCCCAAGGCGGGCAGCGTCCTCATTTTCCAACACCCTCTGCTGTTACACGAGGGAGCGGATGTTATCGAAGGAACCAAGTATACCATGAGGACGGAGATCATGTACCGTTGGGAGGATGAGGCCAAAAACTAAGCGTCCTTTGTTCTGCGATTGTCATAATATGTATGTATGTAGCATTATACCAACTTGAGAATGAAATAGAATGGCGAGTGCTGGAATATCAATCTCATCGCCCTTGCTTTGGCATCTTCTTTTCCTCCAACGCCTCAATGTCCTTTTTCTTGTGAAAGTGAGGCGCCAGCTCTGCTAGCCATCCGGCCTCAATCGGCATTACGCTGCGCATATACTCCTTGGTCGTCTGCACCAATTCAAAGTAAATCACCATCTTTTCTGGTGGGTCTATTGACATCAGCACGCTGCTCGGGTGAATCCACACCGTCGTGCTGTTCTTGACCGTCCGGTAGCTGTCGCCACTCTTCTGTAGGCGTGCAGCGTTGGGGAAGAAGCCAGCCGTGATGGCGCGCTTGATAGGTCGTAGATTGGTGGCGCCACATGTCGAGGGAGCGACCTCGACGCGCTCACAGAGCTTGGCTAGTTGATCTCGCACATCTCGTGCGCGAGTTAGAGACCGCTGCTGCAAAAAGTTCTCCTTGGCCCAGATGGGTGAAAAGCCGCTGTCAACCCACTGGTTCCAAATGTTGAGCAATGTGACGTGGTCACCGCCATCTTTGATAGTGAAGCGGTTTCGGGCGCTATCGGCATGAATCTTCTTGTCCTTTGGTCGGAAGAAGAGCGCAGATGCTTCACCCAGCATGGAGACGATGGAGAGAACCTCCTCTACACAGCCCTCTTTGTCAGCTGCCAGCACGGCCTTTGCTAGCATGGGATCCGTCGGAAACTCGGCCATTTGTCGACCAATCTTGGTCAGCTCGCCCTTGTGGTTGAGAGCTTGGAGGGCAAATAGCTGGTTCAAGGCACCGATGAGAGTCTCTGTCGGAGGTGGATCCATAAACTCAAAGTCCAGAAGCTCATTGATGCCCAGGGACTTGAGCTGCAGCACGACTCCGTTGAGGTTTGTCCGCTGGATTTCCGGCAGCGGCGATTCCTCCATCTCGTTCATATAAGCAAACTTGGTATATAATCGAAAGCACTTGCCCGGCCCTACACGTCCGGCACGACCACTCCGCTGATTGGCTGATGCTCGAGAGCAAGGGACGACGACCAGGTTCGACATGCCGGTGGCTGGGTTGTAGACATTTTCCTTGACGTAGCCGGGGTCGATGACATATACAATGCCGTCAATAGTCAAACTTGTCTCGGCAATGTTTGTTGCCAGTACGACTTTGCGTGCGCCGTCTGGAGTAGGTTCAAAAATCTTTGCTTGGAGTTCTGATGGCAGGTTGGCGTAGATAGGACAGATGACCAGTTCTTTGATGCGATTTCCCAGCTTCTTTGCTGTCTCGGCAATTTCCATTTCGGCGGCTTCAATCTCGTCTTGTCCGGTTAGGAATATGAGAATATCTCCTTTGCCCTGGGTTGTATGGATTTGGAACACTGTTGTGATAGCTGCAGCTAGATAGTTGGCCTCGGGAGCAGGGGTGTAGTAAATGTCAACAGGATAACGTCGACCGGGGATGTTAAAGATGGGAGCGTCGTCGAAATACTGCGCAAATTTCTCGGCGTTCATGGTAGCAGAAGAGATGAGAAGCTTCAAGTCTTTCCGTTCTCTCGCCAGATCCTTCACCAGGGCCAGTAAAATGTCGGTATGCACTGTCCGCTCGTGGGCCTCGTCGATCATGATGGCCGAGTACCCTGCCAAGTCTGGCTCAGTCATGAATTCTCGCAGTAACATACCATCCGTCATGTACTTGAGAATCGTCTTTTCGCTGGAGCAGTCTTCGAATCGGATAGAGTAGCCGACTTCGTGGCCAAGCTTGACACCAACTTCGTCGGCAACACGAGCAGCTACACTCATGGCAGCCACTCGTCGGGGTTGTGTGCATCCAACTTTCATGCCGTTCTTTGTATAACCGGCCTCATGAAGATACTGAGGCAGCTGAGTAGTCTTGCCACTGCCAGTTTCACCCACAATAACAAGAATCTGGTACTGCTCCAAGGCTTCTAGGAACTGATCCCGGTACTGGTAGATGGGCAGACTCTTCCTCGTCTCCTGGATGGATAGGGCCTTCTTCTCTGCTGCTTCGATCTGGGCTTCCAGAAATTGCTGCTCCTTGGTCAGAGTCTTGCCCTCGCCTGGCATCCGTGAATCCATACTCCAATGGATATACTGGGCATCGTCCAAGACGTAGCTGTAGTCTTCGTTTTCCCGTTCCCGGCCCTGGATCTGTGCCTTTGCCTTTGTCGTCTGCTCCCTCTCCCACTCGTCGTGCTCAGTGACAAACTTCTCCTGGCCGTACTCATCCCGCTCGACATGGCGTTTATACAGCGCCTCTTCCTTCTTTTTCCGGTCCAGCTTGCCCTTTTCGGTGATGTAATCCTCTGGCATCACGTATCCATCCTGGTGGTCGTCGATCCTCAGCCGCTCCTCGGCTAGGCGCAGCAGCTCTCTGTTCTTTGCAAACTCTGCCTTTTCCCTTTCTGAGAGCCTGACGCCGCTCCTGAGCTCTGCCGTCTCCTCGGCGACTTGCCTCCTCAGCAGGGCCAGACGCTCAGCCTCTCTCTTCTTGAGATACTCCTGCCGCGACCTCATGCGGCTCTCCTGGTGGCGATCCGAGGAGGAACCGCCGTCGTCCATCGGGACAAAGGCATATTTCTTGGAACTCATCCTGCTGGGCTGAGATGGGCTGAGCTGTAATAGTAACACGCCTCACTTCACTTGGACCAGGCAGAGAGAGATGATGCTCTTTGTTTCTTTTCTCTGGCTTGACCGCGGCCAGCCTGTTCAAGGTGAGACGCGATGCTTGCCTAAAGTAGAGAGCCAGTGTCGAATTTTAGTGGAGATGGAGATGCTGGGTCTCTCGTTAGTCCGCTGTTAATCCGCCAGCCAATCGGCTCGCTGCGATAGCGCCGTCATCGGCTTATCGGCGATGATGCGCTGCAGGCTAATTTGGCCCATTGAATGCCGCTGGAAATGTTAACACGCTGTAAACTTACAAACCGTCATTCGGCCTTGTGTCGAGCTTGTCTTTCCTTTTGCACAGCCCTGCCACCGAAGCAGCTCAGAAGGGGAGATTTGGCTTTATGGTCCCTTCAGATCTCTGATTTACTTATTCTTCCTTTTCTTCTTCTTTTTGCTGCATTTGAGTGTCATTGGCATAGTTCACAAAGTAACTGCATCATGATACTTCGCGGGGCGATCTTCGTCTTGCTGGCGCTGGTATCGCTTGCGTTCTGCGCCGAAGACTTTTATAAAGTGCGACAAGATTCTTTCTTCTCTTCAAGTATGAATTATGCTAATGAGCTTGAATTAGCTTCTCGGAGTCGACAAATCTGCCACAGACAAGCAGCTCAAGTCTGCGTATCGCCAGCTCTCCAAGAAGTACCATCCAGATAAGAACCCGTACGCTATCCTCTGACTAGACGCTGCCTCTCTTCTTTCCAACATCAACTAATTATTCTGTTGTACTTAGAGGCGATGAAACTGCGCACGAGAAATTCGTTCAAGTGTCCGAGGCCTACGAAGTCCTAAGCGATTCCGAGCTTCGCAAGGTGTACGATCGCTATGGTCACGAGGGCGTCAAGTCCCATCGCCAGGGTGGTGGCGGCGGCGGCGGTGATCCATATGACCTCTTCAGCAGATTCTTTGGTGGCCACGGCCACTTTGGCAGATCCAACCGTGAGCCCCGAGGCAGCAACATCGAAGTTCAAGTAGAGATTTCCCTTCGCGACTTTTACAACGGCGCAACCACCGAGTTCCAGTGGGAGAAGCAGCATATCTGTGAAAGGTGCGAGGGATCAGGCAGCGCGGACGGAAAGGTTGAGACCTGCAATGTTTGCGGTGGACACGGTATCCGGATCGTCAAGCAGCAGCTTGTTCCTGGCATGTTCCAGCAGATGCAGGTTCGCTGCGATCACTGTGGCGGCTCAGGAAAGACCATCAAGAACAAGTGTCCCATCTGCCATGGCAGCCGAGTCGAGCGCAAGTTGGCGACCATCAGCCTGACTGTGGAGAGAGGCGTCGCACGAGACTCCAAAGTGGTGTTTGAGAACGAAGCCGACCAGAGTCCCGATTGGGTTCCCGGCGATCTCATTGTCAACCTGGGCGAGAAGGCTCCATCCTACGACGACAACCCCGATCGCGTCGATGGCACTTTCTTCCGGCGCAAAGGCCACGACCTGTACTGGACCGAAGTCCTCTCCCTGCGTGAGGCCTGGATGGGTGGCTGGACTCGCAACCTCACCCACCTCGACAAGCATGTTGTTCGTCTTGGTCGCGAACGAGGTCAGGTCATTCAAAGCGGACACGTGGAAACCGTCCCTGGAGAGGGCATGCCCAAGTGGCACGAGGAGGGCGAGAGCGTCTACCACACCCACGAATTCGGAAACCTATATGTTACATATGAAGTCATCTTGCCAGACCAAATGGACAAGAAGATGGAGGGCGAATTCTGGGACCTCTGGGAGAAGTGGAGGCTCAAGAAGGGCGTGGACTTGCACAAAGATAGCGGGCGGCCTGACAAGCCGCATGAACGTGATGAGTTATGAGATGTGATAAAAGAGGGATACAATTACAGCAAAAGGGGAGCAAGAGGAGTTATGTAGGGCACCATGTCATGTAATCTTTGCATCTACCATAGACTTGTGGATCGTATATACACAGAGCGTGAACAGTACCATTTGCTATCGGATGTTTGTGTGATGTCGCCATGGTCAGCGTGTCTTGTGTAAGAATAATACAAGGCCTATTGCTTGATGGAAAGCTACAGCAGTCGTCTTGGAACGTTGAATTTCCATGACCATTTCCATGGGACACGTTTTGCAGCCTTCTGGCTACTCGGACGCTCTCTGTCTCTTCCCTTTCAATACTGGTAGGTACCTGGGGTAGTATCACATTAGCCTTTGCGTTCTCTCGAACGTCTGGCCGCTTACAAGGTCCGTCAGCGTAATAGGCATCGGTCTGGTCATTGTCTACATAATGCTCCTCATTGTCTGATTGTTCAAACTCCTCCGTCATTTGATAGCCTTGTGATTCCAGATCGTTTTCGACTCGGTCTGCCTCCGGGTCATCCACGTCTACACAGACCTGGTCTGAAGTACCTCCAGATCCCGACGGACTGGTACATGTAGGTAGCTTGGTCAGCTTCTTCTTTTGAGGGGCATGATGGAAAGAGTCGAAGTACTTTTTAATACAGAATTCTACAGCGATTTGGGGTTATGTCTACATGTACACGTATGTAAATTTTAGGTATAGGTTAATCGGTTCCATTATGATATACTTCTGATAGGTAAGATATACTTTAACACTTAATAATACTGGTCAAGTAACTAACCAAGAAGCCACTGTACTCCCATGATCTTCCTAACACCCCCCCTTCAATTTCCCTTCTTGTTCCCTTCCCCGAGATACGACTCCCTTAGGGGGATACCCTGATCCTTTCCAAGTGCCAACCACTTCATCATGGCCTTTTCCTGCTTCCTGAACTTGGGCATGATGATGAATTCGCTTCGTTCCATTATTTGGAACATGCGGAGGTCTTCCGCCAGAGCCTTCATGGCAGCCTCGCTTCTGATGCGTTCTGCCTCTGGGAGGACCAGTCGGGGACCTGGTCGGACGAAATTGTTGCTGCTGCCCACGGGCCTCCAGCTTGCTGGTCTAGAGGCAGACAGTATAGAGGAAGGCATGGCTGGACGTTGTTGTGGTATGGAGTGGTGAGTGATGTTGAGGTTTGGTATGGTTGAGTGAGATTGAGAGGCGTTGTTGTTTGAAGTGGTGGATGTTTGTATCGAGGTACAAGAAGATTGTACTATTGAGAGTGGGCGTTGGATTATGTGAGCGTGTGAAGAAAGCTGGAGCTGGATGTGCGTTTGTGTATGGGTGAAGTTGAGGAGGGGGGAGCTGGGGGGATGAGGCCCCCTTATATAGGCGCCACCAGAGAGAGGAAATTGAGTTCAGATAATCTTTTGGATGTTTCTCGTTTCATCTTGACTTATCTATAGTTTCTGTAGTTGAGAGATATGAGGCACAAGAATGGAACTCAATCTCGCCCTGAATTACGCCGTGGGCCATGTAGCTTACCGGGGCGTAAGTAGGTGGATGTTGCTTCAGCTGGGCGTCGATTCTAGGACAAGACGGAGAAGCAATTGAGAAATATATAACATCAAAAGATGGATCATTTCGACTATATAACGTAGCTTAATGTCTTGGATGTTTCTCCCGTTGGACATGCGTGATACTGTTTTGTTGACCAGAAGCAATCTCTCGTATATTTTCATCTCAATATTTGCAAAGTGCTAGCAACTGTTTGATAAACAACGCAATTCCTGCTTTTACACCCCCCCCTCTTGACAAAGGATACCTCATCGATCTGTGACTCATCGTCAAACTATCGCCATATCAGAGTTCTCGTTACGCAAATCAGTGGTGGTTTATCGTACATGGCGGAAATAACTTCAGTAGCCCATCCATTGTTGATTAAACAAACTCTGGCTGCTGAGTAAATATCACACGTTGCGATGGAAACCAGAGATACTTTTGGAGGGATGAACCATACTTGGCTTATTCAAGATGGATTTGTTGTGTTTGTGGCGCTCAGTGTGGTATGACTCATGGGCGAATGATGGCCTTGCTAGATTGCTGAGAGTACTTGTAGGATGTATTTATTTTGGTAGCAGTGTGTCCAGTTGCATCATGTTGTAATGGATTCCCTGCGTGTGTGATTAGGGAGGTCCAACAGAAGGGTGGTTGTAAATCGCCTCAGTGCGTAGCATATCTGGGACGTATATTCGATCTCTCTGCGATCAACCAATGTTGATCCAGCTGTGTATTGTTGGGCATATAATTCGTAAGCAAATTCCTAGTTTGTATTGTAAAACTTGTGCCCGTGATCAAGTAGAACGAGTTTCCTCAATCTGCAGCCATAGTTTATACCCGGCGGTCTCATGGATTGGCTTAACCCACAAGATATCGCTCAGCTCCGCCTGTAATGACTTCCAGCCCTCCTGGCCAGACATATTGTTCTCTGACGTGGCAGTCGCCAGATGTTGGAGGAACCATTGCTGTTCAGCAGTTCCATCTGTAGCAGCTAGACCGCCAATGAACAGTTTCCATCTTGTCAGCGGTGCTGAAGAGTGTAGGCAGCCTTGGATGGAAGCTTGAAGCTTTCGAACTAAATTCATCGATGTCACGTTTAGGCGATCTGTTGATACGATGGATTTGATGTAGGTGATGAGGCAGATTCGCAGGCTGTCGTCGCAACTGGGCATTGCATCGGATTGACAGTTGAGCAGGCGGTTGTAGAGCCCAAAGACGGTCTCATACAGATAAGTCGTGTCCAGTTTGATGTTTCGAGTCATTGCATCTTCAATAGTGGTGCTGACTTGTAAGACGTCCTGAAATATGCTAAATAGACTCGATGGAATCCGGCATTCAGATAGAGAGGTTTCAGATTCCTCCGAGTTTGGAGTATCTTCAGAGATAGTACTTGGAGAGTCACAGAGACCCTCCATGAGCGGGGGTCTGTCCAGATCTACCGCGATATCAAAAACGCCTCTGACAGGATACTGTTAGCTAGAGCTATTCAAGAGTGGATGTGTATTTCTTACCGGTATAACTTGGATCTCATCCCCTCATTGATCTTGGAGAAGCCTCCTCTTAACTTGACGAGTTCTGCGAGACCTTTGGCGTGAATCCACGCTTTGTCGTAATTGCCTTGTTCATTCTGGAACTCATTAGCTGATGCGACCGATGAGGCGAATCTGAGAAGCAAAAAGGAGATTCAGCAACTTACGCTCCACATAGACAGGCACGAAATTGCCCCCAGGGTCTGATCAGAGGGAAGAGCGCCAGAAGCGACTCGGCCTTTGAGCTGCCGCAGCGCTTCATCGAGAAGGGTGTGGGAATCTACATAGTTGGAAGAAGATCCCGTCACTGCAGCAAGCGAGCTGGCGGATAGAGATAAGATGATGCACCGCCAGGCTTCGTCCTGCATCATTCTGGGGAACCAGTCCCTTTTGGCAGGGTTGAAAAGCAGGCATGGAAGGGTGTAAGCGTCAGCGGCTATTGAGTGGAAGTCTTTTTTTCCCAGTCAGTTATTCTGAGATGAAATAATTAGATGGCGTGGTAGGATATGTGAAGCAGCGTACAAAAGTTTATATAAAGCAGTGCATGCCCAACCAGGGTCACGGGTATATCTGGAAAATTGGCGCCTGGATTCTGAGACAACGACAACTTCGGCTGCGGCTGCTGTTTTACAGAGACGACAGCTCGCCCTTTGGGTGTGACGGTTGGGCCTTCATTACGCCGCCTGCGCTTGTCTTTTGGTCGCCTTGCTAGTTGCTGGTCCTTGCGAGGCGTGTAGGAGACAAACTCCCACGATGCTCCGTCGGCAGCCTCGCTCTTCGTCTTGACGCTTTTACTTGCGCTTGTTGTCACAGTTGCCAGGGGTGTTGGGTCGGGAGCTGCGCGCATCGTCTTGGAGCGAGTCTCCCATTGAATCTCGCGACCGGGTTTAGAGCTGCCGACCTTGTGGACCAGGAAGACGGCATTGCTGGGGAGAATGACGCTCTCGCCTTTGTTCGACATGGCGGCTGAAGAGAGCTAAGATGGACTCATAGACTGGGGTTGAATATCGGTACTGTGAAGCTGTAGATGAGGAGGAAGGCAAATTGATCGTGAGATGTCGTGTGATGGGATGAATTACCGACGGTTGACGACACTTGGAATACGGCCAATGACAAAGCAAGCACCCATTTCGGTCGGTCCGTCGGTCAGCTTCAGGATTTTAGTGCTGGAGCTTGTTATCTTAGACTCGCACCGCCACAATTGTTCCATCAATCGACACTGTTGCCTCAATGCATGATCTTCCTTTAAGATGGCCATTCTGGTTTGGTAAATTAGATTCATTACGCATCTTTTGGGCAGATTATAAGATATTCGATAGCTGAATGAAACATCACAATGCAGAGCTCAGTACTATGGCAGCGCGCTTATACGAGAATTTGGTGACTCTCCGCACAACTCATGATATTGCTTCATCTCTATTCTGACGTCAACCCACAACAACCCAAACGAACAAAAGATAAAGACAAAATTTTGTTCAATAAGCATGTTGAGTAAGCTGATTTACTGCAGAAGATTGCGCTGTATTTGCGCGTGTTAATTATTATTACCAATTATTTCTCTATCTGTCTGTGTCCACGCGCCGTCCTAGTTCTCGTATTTATTTGAAATAGTAGTGTATTATAACTGTGCAACTATGTCCGGTGATTAGAATATATACACTCCGAATGTCCTCGCTATATCGCCCAGGTGCAGGAATTGGTAAGCAGCAGGAATATCCCGTCAGCGTCGCACCACTCCGTCAACTAATCAACAATTCAAGTCTCTCTCGACAAGGCGATTTGCTGGGCTTCTAGCGCCTGATGAAAAACTCCTAAGCGACGTGCGTTAGCTTCATGGATCTCGCTTTCGAATAATTTGACTCGAATAAGCAGCTTACCTGAGAGCTGCCACCTCTTGTCCAGCCACATTAGCGCGGTCTTGAGCTTCTCTACGCGTGTTCCGCTCCAGTCTCCGTTTGTTGGACGTTCTCTCTTCAAGAGTTGGACGGATGTTAGGTATAAAATCTGTATTAAGAAGGGGGAAATTTCGTCTCGTCCGCGGCGCGCTGCGGTTACCATGTGTTCGTAATTGGAACTGTCCAAGACGTCCGCAAGAGGCTCTATAAAATTATCTGGCATCTCAACAGGAATCTTTGGGGAGGTGTACATTGTGATCAAAGAGCTTCGTATTCTTGGTGGTCAGGTTTGGCTGTTTTAGACCCGGGGATATCATTACTCACATATGGGAGATCGAGTGAAGCTCACAGCTTGGCACCCCGTTTCGCGATTTGCACTCCATCTGTCCAAAGTAAAGCAGTGCCTTGACTGTGCGTTCCAACTGCTGTGCCTCGTCTTTTAGAAGGTGTGATTGCTCATCTCGCGAGGACATGAGCCGCAACACTTTGGATAATAGCACGAAGGCCTGTATTAACAATGCAAACCTCCCAAACTCCATGCTGACGGGATTTTTTAGCAAGGGTGAAAACGGCACTTTCGTAGCCTGCAAGATATACATTAGTCTTGTTGTAAGGTGACTGTATTCGTGAAAGATACCTACTCCTTCGTCCCAGAGCGCATCGTCTGTGGGTAGAGGATCCTCTGGTCTGGGTTCGTCAATCGCAGCTGGACAACCTGGACAAGTCATGCCAGAGAGTCTAAACCTACGGTTAGAAATGCACAGTTATGTCTTGCCTCATGTGGTCCTTCAGCTCACCGATCCAGTAGAAACGCAGACCACCACACCCTTTTCCGTTCTTCTTCTTCCACCCACGATAGTGGTAGCTTCAACCTCTGCATTCCTCCAGGTTGTATCCCTAAACCATGTGCGTACCGTACACTCGCCGCTACAGACATGAATGCAGCAGGATAGATTGCGTGCCCGATCTCGTAGAGTGCCACCAAAATCATCCCCTGAAGAACACGAAGAGAAATCACCCCAGCCGTTTCAAGTTCGAAACCGAACTGTTTTGCTGCGCGATAAGTTGCTGTTCTGGCTGTCGGATCCACAACAGGAGCGTCACCTTCTGATGAAGGAGGGCGCCATGTCATCAGTTTCATGGCTAACAACAAGAAGCCCAAGTCCCCAGCAGGACTGAAACCTTCAGCGGATACGTGCAAGTCGTCATAAAAGCGTTTTCGGGAAACCATGGGGAACCAGGAATGAATCGTATGAAAGAAGAGGCGGCCGATTTGCTCCTGCTGCTGGTTGCTCCCGAGTTCTCCGGCAACATAGCTCGGTATGCTCGCTCTGGGCAGCTCGACATGATGATTGTGAAAGACGGATGGATCGACAAAATACAAGGCTGGAAAGGTGGAAGGCGGAAGAGTGTATGGATTTGGTGGGCAGATTATTGATTGAACTGAGAGGTAGTTTTCCTCAAAGGAATCTGACTGCTCAGAGTTGATGGGTGAGATCTTGTTAACATAGTCATAGTTGCAGCGCCGCTTTTTCCTGCTCTTGCATCAGCGCCATTCTTCATCTGTGAACAATAAGTCTGATTCATAATCTGTCGTGAGGTTTACCTACTTTGTGCACTCAAGACATCGTGGAAGCTTCTTATCGCAACGCCGTTTCTTCGTCTTGCACGAATAGCACGCATTTGACGCGAGGTCGGGCTTTCCCCTCACGGGTGCCATTACTAGTCGGAAGAGGCGTATTGAAAAGAACCTCGCAAACTGAAAGGAAAGGTATGTCAAATAAATGAACGGATAAAATATGTTAAAGGCCATCCCTGTAAAGGTACTGTTGATGAGAAGCGTGTTGTTGAATGAGTCGGAATTGTCCTCGTAAAGCGCATCACGTAAGCACCACACGTATCCATTTGTCGACGGCCGCAGCATGATGATGGTTACCGTACATTGCATCTACCCATTATAAGTCAAGTACGAGTTGGTATCGCCCTTTCAAGGTAGGATTTTGCGCGTATACAGGGAATATATATAAAAACGGAAAACAACTTTACTGCTTCTTGATGGCATCATGATGTCATCACCTTAATCGGGCTCTTTTGGCTTGTGTCTAGGCGTCATGGTTGATGCTAATTCGAGCTGAATTCGTCAGCCTTGGCCTTTTGGGGAACTGTGGCCACAATTTTATTTCACTGTTAGATGAGTGTATGGAATGTGTGGTTTTAAGCAGCTATCCGTAGTCCTTATTTAAGCGCATTGTAGACTTGGGAGAAGCAGCCTTTAGCACTGGTGAACGAGATGTGTGCATGTCCACAGACTATGTCTACTTCTTTACACCCATAATACTTAAATGGTCCAAATTTGTATTGTAATATCTCTACTGAGAAATCTCTGTGAATACATGTAGCTCCATTTTACGATTTAAATGACAGAGACTGAGCCAATCGTGGGATCAACTTTCTCAAACTCCTCCACAAGTTCCTTCCAGAGCCCCTTTTGCAGCGTTTGGCCATCAGAGCTCAGAGAATAAGGGGAGCGACTAGATTCATAAGATTAGTAACAGAGATTATGCCATTCAATCAGGCAGTTTGACGACCACTTACGGAGCAATCATGTTATCGTCGAGGTACTGGCCATGAACCTCGTCATCAGCGACAATGGCAACAATGTAAGTCAACGCAGATTCATCGACTGGCAATCCAATATCATCCATCATCTTTTTGGCAGCCTCCCTAGCTGGTCCATCAGGATAGCTGGCGCCGAAGTTTGTGAGAGTCCACGGAGGAGTAGGCTCAACTACAACGACCTTCTTCTTATCAAGGCGTTGGCCTAATTCGTTGGTAATGAGGCCGTTGAGAAGTTGAGTATCGGGATATCTGCGAGGATCAAAATTGGCCTCGTCATCGAGATGCTTGATCACATCGTGAGTGAGTTTCTTCTCGGCGATGGAGGTGCCGAATTGCGTCCAGCTGCCAACCATGATGAGACGGCTTGGTGCGCCCTTGACCTCGGCCGTCTTCTCAAGAAGAGGAATCAATTTGAGAGTTAAATAAGTAGTAGACAGCACGTCGACCTGTAGCATCTTCTCATGGCCAGTCGGCTTTGCAATACTGTACTGCACGCCACCAATGGCTGCGTTCATGACGGCAACATCGAGTGTAGGTGTCGTCTCTTGAACTTTAGTAGCAAATGCTGCAACACTCTTGTAGTCTTCCATTTCAAGCTCAAAGACATCAATCTTGGCATTGGGATTTGCAGCTGCCACGGCAGAGTCGCCGAGCAGTTTGACCTTCAGCGCCTCGCCTCGAGGTACATTCCGGACGCCCATGATCAGCCTATCGACTTTGCGGACAAGAATATGCTTACTGATAGCCTCTCCGAGGCCATTGGTAGTTCCAGTCACCAAGATTGTTTTGCCACTAAAGTCAACAGCATCGAGGAGATCGAGAGTTTCTTTAGGCAATCGAGTGCCATTGCCCTTGCCTTGGGTACCGTCGCCTCTGGGGACTTGCATTTTGAATCGGTAATGATTTGTTGAGTTGAGCACACAATAATGTATTTTTGCAATGGATTGTGATAGATGATGTTGATTTAGTGAGACCTCGTCTGCCCTTATATACTCTGAACCTGCTGCTCGTGCAGGCCTTTGACGGCATCAGGAAGGAGGATTGGTAATTCACCATGTCATTGATCTAAGAATATTACTAAATCAAGTTGCAGTGATGGATTGCAATTATTTGCAGATATATGGGGAAACATAGGGATTTGGGTTGTCTCAAGAGATGGAAGACTGCAATTACAGAAGAGACGCCCGCATTGCGGCCGCAGTCTGCGGCCGCAACTCACCCGCAGACAGCCGCACTTTCAACCGCACAGTTAAAGAGCCACAGAACCAATGAAACGAATGTATTATATTCATTTCTAGGCTTGATTTTAGTTTCATTGTGTCCGTTATCATAAATGCGTTCTTCGTCTCTTTCCATTTTCTTTGCAAATCTGCTCTCCAAGAGAAACCGGCTATCTATCATCCGACAGTTTGCAAGAGATTTTGAAGTGAATAGCACCTATCCACCATGAGCCATTCAAATTATATATGTCGAAGCTAGGTTAAATCGGCTGATGTCACATCCGATGCCTCGTTTATGTCACCAGGCAAATGCAGCTCAGAGTATGTATGCCTAGTACATTCAACAACGCCGCATGCTAGTGGGCTCGGGGAAGGACACGAGAGGATAGACGCAGAAGCTAGAATGAATATTCCATTACATAAAAGCACAAAAGAATCATGCTGATAATCGCTTTGTGGAGCTGTAATCCGAAACCCGTGTGGCTTTGCGGGAAGTGAACAGCCTCAGCCAGGCAAAACCCAAATCACCGCTCTTGTTCAATCCATCCAACTTTCAAATGCGGTATGATACGCAAGGACAGTATTCACTCTTCAACATCTATAAGATACTCCTTTTCATCGGCACCTGATCTCGAATTGCCAGTTCGTCCCTTGTGTGTGCTCAATGGTCCACGTTGAGCATTGGCAATAGGCGTATACTCTTTTCCGTTGAGGATGACGGGCTTCAGTATTTTCCCTACCAACATTGTTAGCTCAATGCAATGGATCAGAATATTTCGCCACATACCAATGCCCGTGAGGTGATAATTGATGAAAATGTTCTCCCAGTTCTTCTTTGGCGCAGAGTACACTTCGTGCATGATACTCAAATGCTTATGCGTCTTGCTCAGTTCGACAAACCAATCCCAGACCTCACGATGAAGGGGGGCGTGAGCGAATCGATTGATATCCTCAACGCTACGGAAGTAGAGCACCGACATGAAACCATTGGCCTACGAAGCATATGAGTGATGGTTCTATACCACAAAGCGTGAATAACTTACCGTCGGCCGCTCATTGGCAGCTCTATACCCACACATACCAAGAACTGCAAGTTTTGTCAACTTAAGGTCATTGCTAAAGATAATTGAATAGAGTTGAACAAGGTTTGGAACCTACAGCCGGAGTCGGGATCATTCTCGAGATCCTTCAACATCGCTTGAAATTTGAGGGAGGCATCCAGCGCGCCTGATCCAAACATACCGAGGGCGCTGTTGCGATGCTGTGTTAGCAGGAATCATTGCGACAGATGGAATATATAGACGAGAGTAACGCACGAATTGTTTCTCATGCCCAGCATGATGACGGCCATGCCTGTCTCCGACGGCTCACTCGGCGGTTTACCGTCCTTGTCGGGAATCTGCACGGTATACTTCCCCATGATCACATCTTCCATCTGCGTGTTGCGAATAAAGCCGTAGTGCATGAGCATCGTGTGGGAGAATCGGTAAAGCAAGACGAGCGCTGCCGGTGCAATCGCGAAAGTAGGTCGAGCGAACAAAACTAAAAGACCCTGGAGAGTGGCTCCAATGGCCATCCACGTCGAGATGGAGAAGTTGTCGCCCGACAGTCTGCAAAGGCCTCGGGGTCAGCGCCTGAGTTTTCTTTCCACCTCGTCTTACTTGTGATGCCTGGAATCAGCATTTCATGAGATGCAGCTGGGATGACAAACATTCCACAGAGCAGTAGAAGCAATTTGCCTCGGTGTAACTTTGGGGATCTTGTCGATGTGCGGCGCAAAGTGTTGGAAATCCATCTTGGTGGTCATTTTTGAGATGTTGTGGTTCGGAGTGTGGTATGCATGAGATCAACAGAAAAGCTGGGGCTTGCTCTTCCTTATATATGTAGTAGAGATTCAAGATATGTCTGAAAGTTCTGATAGTCATCCAGCAAAACTATGCAAGGGAAACTTTAACGGATGCAAGGGCGCACGAGATGCGGTAATGCAGACGCTTGTTTGCGACGTGTTTGGAGCTCGTTTGCAAGTCGTTTCCCCAACCGAATGCGAGTTTAGCAGCTCGGCAGTCGAGACAAACAGCGACCTAGACTGTAAATGAAATGGCGATCTATCGGTGTAACCAACTTGCCGTCAACTCCTTTGTCCAACACCCCTCCCGAGTGCGTGGCCTGATGACGACCATCTTTAGCTGAAGGAATTTGGCTTCTCAAAGGGATTTGCCGGCTTAAGGGAGTCAGCCTTACATGTAGACCGGCCTTAGATCTTACGGGGCCGAGTATCTTCTACAGAATCTTACATGTAAAGAATGGGGCGCTCCGGAGTATCTGTACATTGGCAGATTGAAGTTCGGCAACAAACAGGGATTAAACCGAGTGCGAAGCTGGGGCCGAGTCCGACCTGTGGCGCATGAATCAATGACGAGGAGATTTCGGTTATATGTACATGTACATGTTATATCCAAGAGGTAATTTCTTTTCTTCCAAAGGAGGTGAAAGATGGCATATCAATTCCAATCCAGTTAGTATAAATACCTGACTCTGAGGAGACGATGTGTGGCAGATTGAATTTGCATCAAGACTTAGAAAGACTAAGCTGATTGGATATAACTATCAACAATCTGTTTTTTATCGCACGTGGGAATATAGGCCATCTTTCCAGAAATAATATCCCGAAAGACGGGATTAGAGTCAAAGAACATGCAGGTGGTTATGCGCAAAACTAATACCTTCTTAAATCTTCACTTTGCAAAGTTATTAGAAACAAGGGAAAGATGCATTGCACCTGGATTTTATAATAAAGGATGTGGCCCTGAACCAGACATCCTAATCACAACCACTCTTCCAGAATCACTACCCAGAGCCATAGTCACGTCAGTTGACGACCGTTGTAGCGATGGCGCACTGGGCCATACTGCCTCCGCAAAAGGCCGATATTCGAGCGGAAGCCACAAAATATTATGCTCTTTCCATGTAATCCAACATTTATCGGTACTTAGGCCGTAACCAAAATGGTTTGTCTCTTGAGAGTTATTAGCAATCAGCTGGTGTTGATCCTGATGTTGAACGGCATTCGAAACTGGAGCCAAAGATTGGTCTATCATCGGATGAGCTCCCGTTCGATTTTGTACACCTAATTTTATAAGACCGATATTGGTATGCAGATACGAGGCGGTATCATCAAAGGATATAGTCTGTATTGTAGCGTTGACCTTGATTGTCTGTCGCTCTTTGCCCGTTGTTATATCCCAAATCTTTATAATTTCATCGTTTGACCCTGAAGCAAGGTAATGTCCATCTGCTGAGAAAGCAACCGATTCAATTGTTGTTTGATGGCCTATGAGGTATTGTTGAATTCTTCTTTTCTTTAAATTCCATATTTTTATAGCATCATCTGAAGCCCCCGAAGCTAGGTAATGCCCATCTGCCGAGAAAGCAACTGATGTAACTGTACCTATACTGTAATGATTATCCATCAGGGTTTGTTGCTTTTTACCTCTTGTTAAATCCCAGATCGTTATAGTCTTATCCCACGATCCTGAAGCGAGGTAATGGCCATCTGCAGAGAATGCAACTGAATAAACCGCATCAGTATGCCCTCTGAGGGTATGTCGTTCTTTACCTGTGGGATCCCAGATCTTTATATTTTTATCTTCTGATCCTGATGCAATATAACGTCCATCTGCTGAGAAAGCAACTGATAAAACTATGTCGTTATGGCTATTAAGGGCTTGTCGTCCTTTCACCGTTGGATCCCATATTTTTATCGTCTTATCACTAGACCCTGAAGCAAGGTAGCGGCCATCTGCTGAAAATGCAACCGACGTAATTTCGCTCCCATGACCTATAAGGGTTTGCTGCTCCTTGCCTGTTGTAATATCCCAGATCTTAATAGTTTTGTCATATGACCCTGAGGCAAGGTAACGACTATCTGCTGAGAAGGCAACCGATCTAACTAATTGGCTATGGCCTTTGAAAGTTTGTTGCTTTTTGCTCATCATATCTAGTATTTTAATAGTATCATCCCTTGACCCTGAGGCAAGATAGCGGCCATCTGATGAGAAGGCAACTGAGCTGATCATAACTCCATGACCGTTAAGGGTCTGTAAATGAGGCCTCCAGTCATGCTCCACTATAGGTTTGACCTTTAACCATTGAGGTTCTTCTTCTTTGAATGCTTTCCGTATTAAGCTATTCAATGGGCTGAATACAAGTGCTGACGTATATATTTGGAGTGGATAATCTGCAATCAATGAACTGTTCTGCCGGATGAATCGCCGTGAGTCTTGTTTGTTTGTTTGTTTGTTTGTTTTATTATTAACGTCCACTAAGTAAGCTAGTTACATAAGTCCTTATCTGGGTACTAGGACGGTAGGAGCCGCCGAGTTTAGATCGGGCGTTCGCTACGTTTTAAAAGTGATAAAGGAAATAGGGAAGTATTAATTTATTTTATGTATCTGTTTCTGTAGGGGGGGGGCTGTATAAGCTTATCTCCTTTACTAGTTTCTGGAAATCCTTGTACCTTTTGTTATTAAGGAGGTATTAGATATAGGTGGTTCTAAAGTGCGCTTCCTTTTCCGGTACGTTAGGGAGGAAAGGGGCTACTATATAGTACTTTACGAAGTGCCTTTGTATCCTTAGCTCCCTGTATTTACAGGTAGGCCTAGTATTATATCTAAATCTCTTATAGTATTCTATAAAGTCCTTATATTTTAATTTTTTAACTAGTAGCCTATATAAGATTAGGTATAGAAAATATAGCTCTAGGGGTATAAAGGGGGCTTTATAAAGGCTTTATTTACTAGTCTTATATAACTTTAGGTAGTTATTATTTTAGTTAGCGTTTTATATTTCCCTATATTTCTTTTTTACCTACCTTTTAATAAAGGTAATAGTAAAGTAGTTTCTTAAGTAGTAAGGGAGTTTTAAATTTTTTTTTACTAGTCAGTCGGCTTTTTTATTTTCTAATATATCTTTATAGCCTAGGACTTAGGCTGCTTTTATAATTACTTATAAAAGTAGTCTTTAGGTAATTTAGCATAGCTTTATATAAGCTCTTTAGGATAAAGCAGGAGTTAGCCCTAGTATTTTATCTACTACTGCTAAGTTATTTAGGAAAAGTAGAATCTCTTAGATATCCGGGTTTATAAAGGTATATGTTTTAGCTAGCTTTATAACTTTAAAGGTATCTACTGCTTCAGCGTTATAGACCTCTGCGTTAGTAAGGGGGCTGTATACTATAGTTTTTTTAAAGTTATAGTATATAACGGCTTTTTAGCTAATATTACCTTATTTATCCTATAACCTGTTTAAGTAAGTAAGGAGGGTAGACCTAGGGAGGCTGTTAAGTAGTTTTAGGTATTTCTCTACTGCCTTTAACTTTAGTAGGCCTTTAAGGTCTAGGCTTACTTAGACTACTCTGTTATTTTTAGTAAATAAGGAAGGTTAAACTATTTTCCCTACTAAGGCTACAGTACATTACAGTTAAGTAGGGGGAACCCTAGGGGGGAGTTTTTTATTAATATATCTGCTAATTAAGTAGTTCCTATTTAAACCTATAAAGTAAGCTGCTATATAAAGTCTGGTTTATACTACTTATATTAACGCTGGGGGGACTCCTAATTTTTTATATATAATAAAGAGGTTGGTTATCTTTTATATAGGGACGACTGCTCTGGCTGCTGCTTTAAATAAAGGTTCTAGGATTGCAGTTAGTTTTATTAAGCCTGTTCCTACTTATCTATTTAGGTTTATTATACTTTATTTACTTTTACTAGGCTAAAAAGCCTCTGTCTTATATAGGGCTATAGGGGTAACGTAGGCCTTAGCTGCTATAGCTATTACATCTGGTGGGGATTTTTTTTATATTTTATTTAAAGATCTTAGGAAATTAACTGCTTTAAGGGCTTTTCCTTTTATAATCCTAAGGTGTTTTTTAAAGAAAAGCTATAAGTTTAAGTATATCCTTAACTACTAGACTAAGTCCTGGGGGACTATAATTTTTCCTTTAAAGTCTACTCTTTTATTATATACTTAGGTTCTGGTTTTATAAAAGTATATAAGTTTAGCTTTATTTAGGTTAAAGAAGATTGTATTTTTATTACCTTAGTTTAGGGTGTTTTTTAATTTCTACTGGAGCTTTTAGGTAGTTTCTTTAGTATTAGCCCCTACTGCTATAATATTAATATTATTTACGTACTTAAAGTAAGTATTAAGGTTATTAAGCTTTAGGCTAGGGGAAAAATAAAGTATAAAGACAATAGGGGAAATAAAGGACCCCTATAGGGCTTTATATTCTAGCTCTATTTTTAGGAGGGTAGTCCTGTAGCCATTTTAAATAAGAGCCTTGCGGTTATTTATAAAGGAATTAACCTATTTTATAAAAAAGGGGGGCTACCTTTATTCCCTAAGTCTATATACTAGGCAGTTATATATAATAATATTAAATACGCTGGAAATATTAAGTATAAAAAAGGAGATAATAAAACCCTAGGCTAGGGTAACTTTAGCATTATATAGTAAGTAGGCGACTAGGTTTATTATAAACCTTTTTAGAAGAGCTCTGAAATATTATTTTAATAGTATTTTATATTCTATTACTAAAAGGGAGACTCTTCTAGCTAGGAGTCTCTTAAGGCCTTTACTTATATAGAAAAGTAGGGAGATAGGTTTATAGCCTTTATATATAGTATATACTTTCTCTAGCTTCCTAGGTTTAGGGATAATAATAATTTTTACGCTTTAAAAAAAAAGTAGGTAGTATTTTATTATTAAGTATCTGTAGAAAAGGTTAGTTATATACTTACTAATAGTAGGCTAGGTAAGCTATAAAAGGGCAACTAATATACTATCTACGCTAGGCGTAGTATTTCCTAACCTTATTATAGTTTTTTTAGCCTCTGGCTTTAATATTATTTAATTTTAGTAAATGTTTTTATTAATAGGAAAGTCCTCTTTTTATAAGTTTAAGATATCCTCCTCTATTATCTTTTACTTAAGAAGTTTATTTTTAAGAAAAGTTACTTTTTTTATAAAGTCTAAGATACTTTTATCCCTATTTATTAAAGGGGGTAGTTAAAAGCAGTCTATTACCTTATACTACTTAGCTACTAACTAAATATTCTTAATAATACTAGCTTCTGCTATAATCTTATTTTAGTAAGCTTACTTACTATAGTATATAAAGTCTTTAAGGGTTTTATAGGCTTTTTTATAAGCAGGGGAGCCGTCTGCCGCTTCTTTATAAGCCCTATAGGCTGCTTTATATTTCTTTAACTACTATAGTATATTATAGCTATTCTAGTACCTAGTTTTACCGGCTGCCTTTATAACTTATTTAAAGAGGTTCTATAGGGCCTTGGTATATTTATCTAAGTTAGTTTCTAATAGTGTAGTTAAATTAACCATAGGGAGGGTTTAGGCAAAGGAGTATATAAGTTAGCTAAAGTCTTCCTAGTATTTTATTAGAATATATTTTTTCCCTGTCCCTAGGGTTATCCTAAGGGGCTTAGGTAGGTTTATAATTACTATATAGTAGTTTAACCTTGTATTAAAGGAGTATTTAACCTTAGTTAACGTAGGGTAGTTTATAAAGACTAGGTTAATGTATTTTCCTAAGTATTAAGTAGGTGTATTTATTAAAGCTAGGAGGAGATTATACTTTTCCGCCTATTTTATAATTTTATTACCTACTAGGTCCACGCCCCTGCCTAGTTCCTAAAGTTAATATAAGGTATTAAAGTCGCCTGTAATAATTAAGTAAAGGGGGGGAGGGCCTTATTTAGTAAAGGTCTTTATAGCTAAGTCTACTAAAGCCCTTTAGTAGACGTTAATAATAATATAATTATATACTTTTATTTAGTATATATATTTATCCTTTAGGCCTAGGGGAGAAAGTTATTTACTAAGGAGGTTTAAAGAAATTCTAATAAATATAAGAACTAAGGGTTTAGTGTCTTTTTAATTATTTAAGGGGTTATATATTTAATATTTAAGGTAATTTTTAATTTACTTTTTATTTAATACTTTATTCTATTAGGCATAGGGTTCCTGGATTAGTATAATATTATAGCTACCTTCTTATACTAGTAATAAGGTAATGTTTTAGTATAAATTACTTTTTTTAATATTAGTTTAGAAGATTTTAAGGTTAGTGTTTTTTTAGCAGCTGTAACGGGGTCTATTATTTATAAGCTTACGTTAAAAGGTTTATTAATTTTAAGGGGGGCGTTAAGTATATTTTTATTACCTTTAGCTTCTTCTTCTTTATTATTTAGGCTAGTTATATAAACTACTAACTTAGCGGGGGAGGTTCCTTTATAGGGATCTTCTTTATTTAAGTTAACTTTAATAATAACCTTTTTAGCTAGAGCCTAAGGGGGGAAGGGTAAAGCTAAGCTAAAGATTAATAGCCTTATACAGGGGCCTATTTAGGTCTTTAGGTTAAACGTTTTCTTAATATTAAGGGCTGGGGCGGGGGTAGGTTTAGGTTTAGGTAGATTAGTTTTATTATATTCCTACTGGCCTAATTCCTAGATTACCTAAAGTTAGGCTTTAGTTATTTATACTTTTTCCTTATTTTTAACGATTGGTCTAGCGGGGTACTTTAGGGAGTCTACTATATAAGGGCCGTTATAGTTAATATACTAAGGCGGGGATAAGTAATTAGCTATAATATTATTATATTTAAAAAATAATTTACTATATTTATAATACCTTTTAGTTCTAGTATAATTCCGTAGGTTATAGAATTTAAAGTACTATAGGCATTAGGTAACCTAAGGGGGCTAGACTTAGATTTCTACTAGGAGGAAGCTGCTAAAGAGTTTAAAGCCAGGTTTAACGTCTTTATTAAAAAAGATAAAGTAGCTATATATATTAAAGGATTTTCTAAAGTTAGCTTTACAGTAGAAGATAAATAGGCTCTTAGCCCCTGCCCTGGCGTATACCTCCTCTGGGATTAGCGTATCTATAGGGTAGGTTCTGCTTATATTAGTATACGTCTTTAATACACTGTATATAAAAAAAACCTTTTATAAATATACTTCTTTAATTTTTAGACTATTATTTTTTACTACTGGCTAAAGTATAATAATTTTATTTTTAATATTTTAATTCTTACCTCTAAGGGTAAAGCTTAATTAAACCTTTTAAAAGTAAGTAATATCCTTATTTATAAGCTTTAAGATCTTAATTAATTCTTATTTAGCCCTAATAGCTAATAACTTTTTTTATA